ATTCAAGAGGAGAATCAGCAGTATGCTGTGTAGGTTGTATGCCGACCAATAAATTATTTGTTTTGTGTGTTTTGATAAGTCATGTTTTGCAGCTATGCTTCACATGAATCATATGCTTAAAAGTCTAATCGGTATGTAAGAGGATCATATATGCAACTCTCTTTTGCATATCAAAATTGACTTGTTTTTCTGGATATGGATTTGGATTTCCTGTAAAAGCAAAGGTTGATCTATGTAATTTTTTGGGGGAGAAAAAAATCATTTAACTATGCCTTATCAGACACTAACTGACACTATTAGTTGATTGTCTTCTTAATTTAGAAAATGGATAGGACCTAGCATGCAGTAGGAAGCTCTACATCAAACATTCAGAGAATAATTTAGTGCTTACATATTGCAACCAAATGTCCAAGGTGAACTGGGTCCATGACTTAAAATCCCAAGTTTATACTTAATTGCCTACTGTATGTTGCATTAGTCAATCTACAGTTATCCTTTCATGCTTTGACTTGTATTAGAGTACCATAAAAAAATTACTAGACATGACACCTCATAATATGACCAGGATAACTGTTGCCTTCTAGACCTGTTTCCATCAATTATTAGTGATTGATATGTAATCATCCACATTTCATGTGTGCTTAATGTACAGAAGAAGAGATGTTTATTTTCATCGAGCACTGTCAACTTTGTAGACCGATAACCTGTATCAGTGTCTGAAATGTATTAGTTTGAAGATGCCCAACCACTAACTAATTTTTTTTGAAGTCTTGTAAAATGAGATAAATTAGAGTAGAGTCATTTGAAGTAAATTATGACTGCAAAATTTAATTTGCATATGAGTTTGTCTTGTTATCTTTTGCATGTTCTTTAGAGTTTAGACATTTATCTGTTATGTGATGGTTATAATTGTGATGCTGATAAGAAACTACTTATTTTGCCTCCATTCCAATGATATGTACATTTGATGGAAGTGAAGAGCCATGACAGTAAAAAACTGGTTCCATAAAGACTATTTAGGGCCTATATTTCTAAAGATGATGACATCCGCCTTACTCTTTGCAGGTACTAATGCTGATATTATGAAAGTTGGTGGTTATAAGCTGTCAGCACTAGAAATTGAAGCAATACTTTTAGAGGCAAGGAAATCTTATATCTCTCAGACGGCTATAGTTTTCTTAAGCAATTCAGTATCAATTGCTTTAATTATTTATATCTGTTCATGAGCTTATTATTTATAACTGTTGCCTTCTAGTCTATGTAGCTTGAATGGCTTGCTATAACTGCTGAAGTTGGTCTTCTGTGTTCTCATTCAGCACAAGGCAGTGTCAGAATGTTGCATTCTGGGCTTACTGGATGAGGATTATGGGGAAATTGTATGTGCTATAATTGCGCCTCATGCAGATGCAAGAAGTAGTGCAGAGCAAGAACAAAAGCCAGCAATAACCCTAGAAGATCTACGAAGTTGGTCCAAGGATAAACTAGCTCCATATAAGGTTCTTTACTATCATTAATAGCACATTACTTCAGCTTTGTATTTGCTTTTTACTATAGTCTAAAGAGTACCTATGGACAAACTACAAAGACCAACCGCCTGCTGTAAATACATTTTGTTTTGGCACAGATATGCTATTTATCATTCTTTTATTCATTTTCTTATATGTTAACTACAGCCTACTTTGAAATTCTTTTAAAAGCTTTGTTCTGTGAGCTCAAAAACATCTTCTCTATCTTGGTTCTAATTATATATGGTTACTGATTTAGTCTGCTACATATTGTTATATATTTTGGGGAGATTATATTGCACCTCCCTAGGGTTGCGGACTTCAAGAATTTCTTTTGTACAACTTTAACCTGGAAATGCTATTCAACACATTTCTAGGCCTTGTTTCTTTTGGAACCCCTGGTTCTGATATTACAAATGGATAAAGCAAAGGACAAGTTTGATGGTTGGGGATGCTAACTGGTCATACCTCATCCAAATTCCTTTAGGTCATCAAAATTGTACCACTTCACAATTCCTCTAGGAAATCAAGCATTCCCTGTCCCTAAAATCGGGATGTGATACAAGCGTTTGACTCTTATAGCATCATTGGGCAATCATGCTGCACGCAGGGGTGCGGAAAAGATGAGGAAGGCCTGCCATCATTACTTCAATGCTGCTGCTGTTGCTCTGTCACCAGAACTACCCTTGTTGCATTATTATTAACGGTCAAATTTGTGAACAAATTGATTTTAGTTTTATAAATATATAGTTTACATTTTGTTTTTTTAAATTTAATGTATTTAGCTACTTGTCTCTTTGTAATTAATTTTAATTTATATTCTGTATGCTTTATATATTTATATTTTCTTAATGTTATATATTGTATCTATGGCCATGCAACACTACCAAATATGATCATATGTTACATGTCATATCTCTCTCAAGTCCACACATTTGTTATTTTCTATTCTTACTGGAACATTTTTGAACTAAAGGTATCTGAGGAGGCCTCCCAATGGCTAGTGTATTTTATGCACCTTTAGATAGTGTAGGGTTTAAAACCTATTGTAAGTGTCTAGTGCACATGGTTATGTAATACTTATGTGGAAGGGGTAAAATTTAGAAAAAAAACATTTTAAACAAAAGGACAAGATAATTTTTTGAGTTTCACCGTGGACATTTGTTGTTATGATCCACAAGGATTTTCATTTGGAATTGTTTGGACCTGGAGGATTTCCCCGTTGTTCTTGTTATACCTCTTAACACCAAATTTTTGTTGGCAAAATAGTTTGAGGATAGAATATAAGCTCATTTGTTCTTAAACAGATGCAATCCATATCTCACGATATTTGTTTACATTCATTCAGATCCCGACAAAGTTGTTTCTGTGGGATTCTCTTCCTCGAAATGCCATGGGAAAGGTTAGATGTGCTCCCCACTGTATTTATTTTTCTTTTTTAGTGAATTTTTCTGTGGTCAAACTCTGTTGCATTTTACTTTTCAGGTGAACAAGAAGGAGATCAAAAAATTACTGGAACAACAACCATAATTTAAGTTACAAATTAACAGTGGCATTTATGGCTGATCAAAAAATTAGCAGCCCCATTAGGTTAGCAAGATCATTTTCTTCAATGAAATCTTCTTTCCCATCGAGGCACAATTTGGATCGTGGTACTTTTATCTCTATTTATTACAGTGGCTTTAAACGTGTACCCGTCGGTCATTGGATTATGTGACAAGTGGTAAATGTTGTCTCCAATCAAGTATGATGCAACTGTAGCGAGCATTGCAATGGTAGATTTGAATGGTGATGTAAAAGTTCAGTACAACTGTCTCACCATAGCATCTGCGTGCCATTGGTGATCAGGGTTAAATTTCTTCATTGATGGAAAATGTTGAATGATCTTGCCCTGCTTTGATCCATGTTTAATAAAATTTTGAGATTCTTGATCGATGTTGTTGGCGATCTTTTAAGCATACTAAAGGATTGCATATCAACAGGAGCCCTGTGAAATGTCAGTAACACAGGACCTCATGTTACTTAGCTAGATGTGCTGTGATTATTATGCTTATCTACCGTGATTGACAGCTGCATCAGCTGCCAAATCCTATGTTTTAAGTAAGTCTTGATGCTAGTTATAGTAGATGAGAGTGCAAGCATTTGAGGCTTCACTACATAATATTCCACTGTGTAAGGATAGTATATCTGGAACCGAGGCTTCAGTATCGATCCTTGCTTGCAAGCTGAGGATATGGATGGTTACTGTCGAACTGTTATCGAGACAATTTTAGCCTGCGAGGAAAGTGAAGAACAATACTGAATCTTCTCGACCTCCATCATGAAGCATTTGTTTTTGCCTTTTGTTCATTGATTCGGGTGAGTGCTAAAAGAATAGCCTAAATTTTGAGGAATGAGTCGAGAAACCAAGCACAAAGTGGGTTTGATGCGATGTGTGGGTTGTGCCGGAATAAAATATTCAGGGGACAGCTACAGGAGTTAGTTCAGGTGGGTGATCCACAAATACACACTCGTTGTCAGCTTCACTCGTCACACTCATTCCTTTCCACTTGTGTGGTGGAATCTGTTGGTGGGGAAAATTTCTCGATTTTTCTGTGTCACCGGTAAGAGCATTCATGTTTTGCTTACAATCTGGTCACACATATTTGTATGTATAAACATTTAGATGCTTGGATGGAGGTACAACGTGATCGCAGCTACCACAGAGTTTGCCTGCTACTTCCAGCAGGCAACAAATGGAGGTACCTTTCTCGCGTCATTGTTATTCTTATTTGCCTTAGATTCATCTGTTACTGTGCGCCCTGTTTCATGACTTTAATTCTTTCGGAATGGTCCACCGAGAGAGACATTATGCTGGTGTTGTATCCGCTTGGGATGTGGACTTGCAACTTGGTACGACTCTTGCAGAAACAAGCAGCAGCAGCAATGGTGAATCAATGGAAGTCGAATCACCGAAGAAGGCGTGTTCCAGCAGAAGGCGGTCTCCTTAATCTGGACCAGCCCCCCTCTCAGGTGTTTGACTTGAATAGGTCAAGGACGCCAACTCCACTGGTCCAAGTCATCGGTTTTCGGGAGCAGCATCAAACCGCTGTTCCCACCACTTGTTCTTGTCCGCTCGCCGCAGATAAAGCATGTGGGCAGTGACTGCCACCAACAGCGGATGGGCAATACTGACACCGACACTACTATATCTACTTACCGACTCATTTGTTGGTTTGGTTCGCTTCAAGTCATGTTGCTTTCAGGTGGCTGCCATCAAAGTTGAAGTTCCAACCGACCCGGCGTTGCTTTCTGCTGCTTCGCCTGGTGGATTCGGACACTTGTTCTTGGATCAAGACCTGATTTGATTAAGGGGTATCGCAAGCAATCGCAGCATCGGCTGAGCATTCATTCGTATGGTAGGAAGATCGAAGGAGAGATTTCTGAACACGTGATCATCAACTCTTTCTCCCACTGATCATTCAACTTTTCTTGGCTAGTTAGTACTCGGGTGATGGCAAGCGGTCAACTCGGGTGATGTGCACGGATCGATGTCTCTGTCGGATCACGATTCCTCCTCTCTCTTCCCCTGCGTACCACCGACTCGCCCAGCGTCGTTACGCGGCCCTCGAAGCGGGTGCGAGCGGGAGGCCGAGGCGGCGCGCGACTGTGGAGGCTTCCGAAACACGACGATGCGGATGATGCAGGCGTGCGACGGTGGCGGTGGTGTTGGAGTCGCACTGGTCCATTTGCACCATCTTGTCGTTTGGTACTTGTCATCATTGTGGCCAACAAGGCATAGCTCGATCCGAGTGTCAGCACTGGCCACCCAACTGAGACGGTCTTCGTCCGGCGACAGCATGGAAGCCAAGAGGAGAGGGTTGTCTTCCAGCTGTGATGTGATGTCTCACTGGTGGAGCAAGAGCCGTCGGCACCAGAGGTCCCTGCTTTGGAGTCTCGTTAGAGTCAACAACACTACAGACACTAACAGCCATTGGTTCCCCCTACTTTTTTTTTTCCTGGATTTCAGAAAATTTTCCTGGTGAGTTGAAGGAAGGTTTATTTTTTCTCTTCTTTATAGTTTTTGTATTAATTTAAGATTCTGTTCTGCAAGATTATAGAATGCCATTGGCGTTCCTAACTTTACATACCCAGACACAATATTGTGCGGATAAACAGCGCATCTATCAAAGATCCTGAGAGATTCGATAAGAGACGGGAAAAAATATATTCCAAGGGAGTTGTCTGAATTCTTGTCGGGTACTCGAGAATCCCTGTCGGCAGGTGGTTGAAGCCTATTATCTCCAACGTTCTACTATTTAACCACACCAATACTTGGTTGTCTCCGGATAGCTGTTTCTTCTTCCATTTCTCTCCACGAATCAATCCTAAATCTGGAAGTCCGATGACACCGCCGCCATCGGAGCAGGACTACATACGCCTCTCCGACGGGCTCTCCTCCGCCGGGGCGCTCAACCTGAAGGACACCGAGCTCCGGCTGGGGCTACCGGGGTCGGAGTCCCCCGAGAGGGTCGATGTAAGATGCGGGGTCGACGGCGGCCTGAAGCTGAGGCTCCCCAAGGGCTTCGTCTCCGGCACGAAGAGGGCGTTCTCGGACGCCATGGACGGGGCGGAGCTCCCCCGGGTGGATGGATCCGAGGTGACACCCGAGGGAGGCGAGGCTTCCTTCTCGGAGAGAAGGGAGAACAGCGGTGGAAAGGAGGAGGATGGCGATGGAGAGGCAAAGGCGGCGGCACCTTGGGCGGCGAAGTAAGTCTGTTTCTCGTTGCGGTCGTCCGTTTGGCGGATCGACGTGATGAATCAATCAAAATGGTTGTGTGGTAGGGCACAAGTCATTGGGTGGCCACCTATCCGGAGCTACAGAAGGAATACAATGGCCTCAAACCCATGGAGGAACAAAGAGGAGGAGACCAAAGGGAGCCAAGGAGGGGAGTGCCTCTACATCAAGGTCAGCATGGATGGAGCTCCCTATCTCAGAAAGGTCGACCTCAAGACGTACTCCACCTACGCGGATCTCTCACTGGCACTCGGGAAGATGTTTACTTGCTTTACCCTCGGTGAGTGAGCACTGCCATCTTTTTTAGTTGCTCGATCCCACCATCAAATTGATGTTGTCGAAGCACTGGAATTAATGGCATTCGGATATCTGATGCAAGGGGAGGTTTCACTTCATCTGTGGTTTTCGATTCAGGTCAGTGTGGTGGTACTCATGGGATGGGTGGCAGAGAGGAGACGAAGACTGAGGGTGGTGGAGCGATGGACCTTCTTCGAGGGTCTGAGTATGTTCTTACCTACGAGGACAAGGATGGTGACTGGATGCTTGTTGGTGATGTTCCCTGGAAGTAAGCGAAATAAATGTTGGATGCCTCCCTCGGCAGTAGGAGCATTCATTCTTCCTATCGACATATTACATGCATCTGATCCTGTATTCTAATCTGACTACTGATGGTATGTGTTTGTCATCGCAGCATGTTTACTGATTCTTGTAGGAGATTGAGGATCATGAGAGGTTCAGACGCAATTGGGATGGGTAAGAATAGCTATCTATCTATCTATCTTCTCAGGATAATACTTACAAGAGAAATGAACTTAAATAGAACACAGAATCTCTCCCTAATTGACCCTTATTATTCCAAACATATGATGATGCTACAGTCCTAAGAAGATTAGGTCACAAATCTTGTTGTGCTTGATGATACTGGGTAACCTTGTTGCAGCACCAAGGGTGATGGAGAAGTCCAAGAGCCGGAACCAGTAGAGGTTTAACCGACAGCAGACCAAATGGCTACAAGATGGTCTTTAATTTCCTCAAAGGAAATGAAAGCTTTGGTGTCCATGAGATTGTGGGGTGAAACTTCACTTGAGTTCTTGGGATTGTTCTTTCCCTGGACCTTCTGTATCTGGTGAAAGCTCAAACTTCCAACATCAATGGTTTTAGTGGACCTCATGTTTCAAAGGGAGAGCTCCCACACTTTTGCTATGTTTACCACTCTGTCTTGGGGATCAAATTTGTGTTTGTGAATGACCTGCAAAACTTCCATAAATTATTAGATTTGATTGCTGAGGTTTACTTGTTCCATGTGCAGTTCAGAATATGAGGAATAGCATAAAAATTAAAGATCAACAAGACAAAGGGAGGGGCATTGAGCAAGGTGATGTCAGGAATCTTTCAGAAGGGCAGTGATTCCTCACTAAGTTCTGTTTACCATTTGGGAACAAAGGGACAACCAACCACTAACTTGTATAGATTATACTTAGGCTGAAAACAAAAATGAAGAGACCATAAATTATTATGTGAGTGGGAGAGAGAAAACTAGATCTTGAAAGAATACTTAATTGAGTCCTCTGGTTGTAGGTTCACAAGCACATAATCCAAGAAGTGGCAACTGAAAGGTTTAATGAAATTTCCACAAATCCATCTATTTTTTTGTGTTTGGTCGATGGAATTTTATGCATCTCTTATAGATAGGGATAATTATATATTACCCCATATAGTTAGCTATATTTAGCATCTCGATTCTTATACTAAAAGTGAAATAATTAATCTCATTATTTCTTGTATCGTCAATTCTACTAACGAAAGATATCTCACACGTGCATAAAATGATGCTAAAAAAGGGATAAAAAGATAATTTACCCCTTTTTGAAAGCTTTGCTATCCTCCTCTTCTCTTTTCGAGCCTTTTCTCAATCCTCTCCAATGTTGAGGTTGTCTCCGTCGTGCACCGTAAGCTCCTAGCCCTCTCGAAGAAGAGAGACCTAGCCCTCTTTGATAAGGAGCTCGATGTCATATTCATGAATGATAATTGTTTCAATTCTTTGATGCCCGACAACTTCGACAACTCCAAAGCCCCCGTCGTTATCATTGCCAACAACACAATTCCTTAATTGCCTTCCGAGCAACATCGGCAATATGACGACCACCCTCAATAAGCTCGATCTGATGAATAAGCTTTCAAGATTTAGTCGTAGCTTTCTCCTCTCCGTAAGTCATCTGGGAGGATAGCAAAGTTGAAGAGAAGGATAAAGCTATGATTTTGGCATCATTTTTCGCATGTGATAGCACGTGCAATATCTTCGGTTAGTAGAGTCAACGCTACGAGGAGAGACAAAGTTAAATGTTTCACTTTCGTAAGTAAAGAAATCATAATGTAAATATTATATTAAATATAAATATAAAGATCGGGATACTAAACATTATCCCACAAGAAATTATTTCAAATTTTCAAGACCATATTGTTGAATTTCTAAGTTGGAGGAACACAAACCCCCATGTCTCAGACAGCTAATTGGGAACCCCAATTCAAGAATCCATATACTAAAGCAGCTATTTGAAGGTATAACCTCTGCAGGATCCCTAATTTGAGAGAACAAAGATAATTGGAGAAGGCCTAAATGTAAACATTTATGCATCTTATGGCAACAAGAACTGCATTTTGTTCGCCATTAGCAGACAAGAAACGTAATCCGGTGATAAGATGTAATGTGATTCATTCGAAAACAAAAGCAACAGAATCAAGAAAGTGAACCCTACCATACCAAGAAACCAATTGTCGACGAGAAAATTAACAAACGATTCAAGCAGATTAATCCATCAATCTCCAGATCTAATGCAAATCCAAACACCCAAGACGATCAGAGCCGTACCGAAGAAGGTGAGACCAACGCGCATCTCCTCGCGGAGGATCATCGCCGCGACGGCTGTTGCGGCGAACGTGGTGGCGTTGGTTACCGGCACGGCGACGGAGATGGGGGCGCCGCCCAGCATGTGGAAGAAAGCGGCGGAGGCGGACAGGTTGATCAGGAAAGGGACGGAGTACTGCCACGTCAGGAGGAGGTCGATCCACCTGAGGACGTGGCCGAGGAGGCGGCCGCGGGGGCGGTGGCCCGGCGTGCGCGATCGAAGCTGGAGCTTCCGGTCCCAGACGAGAGCCCCGCGGCGCATGACGGCGTTGGTAGCACCCCACACGATCCCTACGGCGATCATCTTCTCCACGTCCCCGGCCATCTTTTTCCGCCCCTCCCACCACCACCACCACCACCACCCACCTGCTTCGACAATCGGTCGAACGACCCCGATCGTCTTCTTTGGCTCATCTTGAGCCCTTGATCTTGGCTGAGCTCCCTGCGCGACTCTTAAAGCAAAGATCCGAAAGAGTTCAACGGTGGATATGGAAAGACTCGATGCCCAAAGATAGCACCAAAAATAAAATTGGGCCCACATCACTATTTCATTAAAACTACGGATAAGAAAATTCATCTATTTTTTATTCTTTGTACCGAATTATTTTTTGAAAATTTTATTCCTAAAACATTAAGAATATATATATATATATATATATATATATATATATATATATATATTA